AACGAGGCAATCCATCCATTCATTCCGTAATCGCAGCAAGCAAAAGAAAAGGCAATCCTAGAAAACCCAGCTTGAATAAGAAAACAAAAAATGCAGACACCATCAGGGCACCGAGGCGCACACGGTTTCATGCGCCGCCACTGGTCAAGAGGCACATAACGATGTAAACCTCGCCCCACTTCTCTCTCTAGATGCCGCCGCACCCCTCAGCGTGCAAGCGGATCACCCGCATCATCATCATCCAACATAGTGACATCCTCGAACTCGAGATCCCACTCATCCACCTCCTTGAACTTCTGGGCCAGTCGCGCCTGTTCTTCTCTCAGGATGTCTGCTCCGCCCTCGTCGTCTGCGTCTGCGTCTTCGATAGCAGCAGCATGCGTGCGGCTCCTATACGGCCGGCCGATCTCGATGGAGATGTCGTCGGTGTCGTCAGGAGAGAGTGCTTCGCCGCGGCTTTGGCGTGGCGTCACCTTTCCCCGTCTGGAGGAGTCGGCGGACGAAAGCGAGGGTCTGTTCTCCTTGTCTCCTTGCTCTTTTTCTGCCGAGCCTTGCTCGGCCTCTCGAGCGGCTTTCGAGTACGATCTGAGGCTTTTGCCTCTTGTGGATTGAGGTGGTGGTGGTGGTGGTGGTGGTGGTGGTGGTGGTGGTGCTTGTTGTTTTGGTTGTTGCTGCTGCTGAGAAGAAGTCTTAGCACCAGCAGTAAGAGGCGTGGCTCGGGGTGTAGATATGGATTTAGATGTGGGTGGTGAAGGTGATGGTGATTGCGTACTGGAGTTGTGGCTTTTTGGTTTGCCATGTATACTTCTTCCGCCTTCGGCTCCTCCTCCTTCTTTCCCTTTGGATGTTTGGGAGCTCTTGGGATTGGATTTGTGGAGAGCTGGGATCTTGTTCGTCTTCTGGAGTTTCATGGTTTGGTGTAACGTGGTTTTCTTGCCTTTTTTGGCGGGTTTAGGGCTGGCAATGTAACTCTCTTCGGCGTCAGGATCAGCCGCTTGGTTCTCCGCGGCGCCGTTCGGAGGGTCACTCGAGTCTTCCGGGATGTCAAAATCGCTCGTTGCTTTTGCGGCTCGTTCTCGTCGAGCTCGCTGCTGACGTCGAGTTGGCATTAGGGCTTGGAGGGCTGCTGTTGATAATGACTTCGGCTCTTTGGTTTTTCGGTGATTGAGCTTGGTTGTGCTGGGCAAGGGAGTCTTCGCCTTGACTGGGCTTGGACCGCTGCTACTACTTTGTGGTGGCGCCATGGTGTCGCTGTCTATCTCCGGGGGAGACTGTTGTCTTTGCGATATAGCGCTTGAGAGAAGCGGTGGTAGGTCTGGCTCTCCATTGGTTGCATCTTTGTTGCCTGTTGTGAGAATATCTGCTTGTGGTGGCGATTGAACTGGTGTGGAGGCCCTTGGCGAGCGAGATAGCTTGCGCTTACGAGAGGCGTCCAGCGGTGTAGATTGGTCGTCTGGGAGAAAATCATCTAGGTCTGGATCCAGTACGGTTGAATCAGGTCCATCAATTGATCGTAAAATACTGGGCTGCCTTTTGCGAGTCCTGATGGGTCCCAGAATCGAAGTTTCGGCGGCAGGGGATTTTCGCCCTCCTTCTCTTGAAGCATCCACAGGAGCATATTCAGATGGAGAGCGTATCACGCTTGTGGGCACTTTGCTTGTGGTAGGTCGAGCCGTTTGCGAAGTCGAAAGACGATTGATGGGCCTCAAGCCTCGGGTCTTAGCTTGTGCATTCTTGCCCACCCCGTTCAGCCTTGCTTCTGACCTCGATAGCTCTTCAGGGACCACGCGCTCCCTCTTATGCGAAGAAGACTTGTGCGCCGCTACCTTATCGCCCTTCGCAACACCCCCAGAAGCATAGATCTCTTGCCGCGGAACACCTCTTCTGTTACGTGGCGTGCTGGATTTGACGACTAGTTCATCACTGTCATCGCTATCATCTGGTACGCGACCGACACTTTTATGGGCAAGCTTTTCATGCAGCTGGCGACGGCGTGCCGCTGGTGAGCTGCTAAGAGGGTTGTTCGGGGCGCGTTTCGCTGCTTGGTTTGAATTGTTCAGCTTCGAGCGTTTGACGGGCGGGCGAGGCATGTCGAGATCACGGTCGGGACTATAGCCTCCGTACTTGGGTACACGTAGCTGTTGTGCGATGTGATATCATTGGCAATATTTTGAACGACTGTGTGTGGTGGGATGACGCGATGTTGTGATGATGTGGCCGGAATTCTTAACTAACTAGACCGATGGGCCAGAGGGCCATGGCCGCTATTGCTCCAGGGCGTGCTCCGACCATGCATACCTAAAGATCTAGGCCAAGCCTCCACTACTAGTACTGTGCGAAAGCACAACCACCCACGAGACCTTCAATTAGGATTGAAGATTCTGCTCTTCAATGCGCTTTGAGATTCGCCTTGCAGCTTCCGCCAACCAAGACCGCCTACCTGCAATCCATCTTGTCTCGTTTACCTGCAAGCGCCCATTCTCACAATGGTGCGCAAGCTCGCCTACCACGAGCGCAAACTCCTGCGCAAAGTAGACTTTCTCACCTACAAATCTGACGGCCCTGACCATCGCTCCGCCTCCGTTCGCCGTCGCTATCACCTCACCGACCCTCTGGACTACTCCAAGTACAATGCTCTGTGTGGATCTTTGCGCCAGTTGGCGCATAAGCTTGCCGACCTCGACCCATCAGATCCCTACCGCCTAGAGACAGAAGTGGCGCTGCTTGAAAAACTCCACCAAATGGGTATCATCAAGCAGTCAAGATCTCAAGGGGCAGGGCTGAGCGCTGTTGAGAAGGAGGTTACCGTGTCGAGTTTCTGCAGGCGACGGCTGGGTATCCTGATGGTTCGGATAGGTATGGTAGAGTTGGTCAGTGCGGCTCACAAGTTCATCGAGCAAGGCCATGTGCGGGTGGGAACAGAAGTGGTGACGGATCCGGCCTATCTGGTCACTAGAGGAATGGAAGATTTCGTGACTTGGGTTGATGGAAGCAAGATCCGGCGAACAGTGGAGAGGTATCAGGGTAGAGAAGACGATTTCGATTTGCTATGACCAATTAGACGGGACACTGGTATGAGCGTCAAAACACTATCTTACGAGCTGCCGCATTAGACAGCCATTTGAGCCATGGACAGACATGGGGCGCTGAGAAGAGATCCTCTAGGCACAGGAGCGGAAAGGAGAACCTTGGGATGCAGAGAATGCTACAGCATCCAGCACCAGTAGTATTATGGTCAGAGATTCTGAGGGGGAGCTCTTCATATTGCCCATGAGACGTGCGGAGAGGAAAGCGGCCAGCGGTGCAGAAGAGGAGGGTTTATAGCGATCAGCAGGGCGAAAGTACGGGTCTAGCGGTTGGGCATTTCATGACAAAAATAAACAATACATGTCAACATGACAAGCCTTGAAGCAATTCAGAGCTATATCCCCTCCAAACCCTTTCGGACTGCACAAGAAACAATCCATGACCAGCACACAAACCAAGTTGCAAAAAAAGAGCCAGAAAAAGAGCCAAAAAGTTCACATCAATATCTCTACTCTCGAACTTTGCCGTAGGAGAGGTTCGATACTGGAAGGAGAGAATATATCCGCTATGAAAACTAGCTGGCGCCGGTTTTGCTCACTCAGTAGTGAATACCACTGAGCCATATGTCCGAGGACATTTGTACCTGTGCAATAAAGATATATATAGCAAAAGCTACGCCCTGGCAGTTGGGCGAGTGTTTTGCTTGAAGTGTTTTCTTGGAGGGCATACAGGATTAGACAACGTTCGTTTTCTGGATGTGGGACGGAAGATTGGAACGGGGTGGGTGTTGCTCGAGAGTAGCGGGACAAAGTCTGGTTGCAGGCGCAGTAGGAGATGCTTTTTAACCTTGAAGAGGTTGCACAACTGGTAACGTGTCAACTATGCTACCCGCAGGGTCTCTCAACTTCTTTACACGATCCCGAGCAGGTTGACTTGCGGAGGAGAGACATGTTGAGAGACCCCTTAATGGGAATTTCCGCAATAGCTATGCTGACATATTCCAACTATGGTGATCCTCCTCTTTTGCAGCCCCTCAAACCACTCCTCTGGCAGCGTGTCCTTCAACTTCACCATTTCAACCCTGCGGTACACTGTCCCATCCTCTCTCTTCCCTGTTCGCTGCAACACCAAGGCCATGTAATCATACCATCTTTCCCATCTCCCTCTTGCCAAGTTTTTTGATATACGCGCTGCACCATCAGGAGATAGAACGGCTTTTTGCCGACAGACTTGCGAATGACTTCTGGTTCGACGATCGAAGCAGAGCCAATTTAGGACGGAGAATTTGGTATCAATTCAGACAACTTTAAGTACGGTCCTTCGATACTGTCGTACATCTTAAAAATACATCCCTCATGTAGATTGCACCGTTCATAAGGAATTTTCTCGTTCTTGTCAGGACGACGGGGGGAAATGGCAGAATAAGGCTCTAGGCGTAAAGTGATTCCTGTCCCGGGATGATCCATCCCTTGTCTGAAAGCTGTCACAAACAACCCACAGAGTGGACATCCTCAATCTCTTGATAACAACACGGCTGTGTGAGTCTTATTGTCACGTGCACGTCCCGTTAGCTCTGCCTTGGCGCTGCTGCTTCTTAGATTAGCTCTTGCTGCTCCCCAGCTTCTCTCCATCATCCTACTAGAATCATTCAAATTGCTCCTATCCATTGCACTTATGGTGCTGGAAAAGTTCTCCATCCTTGTTGCTCAGCTTGGTAAGATCGATACTTTGGCACAGATCGCACAATGCCATTCAGGACTTCGCTCAGAGGAGTGACTGTCTTTTATGGTTATCTATACGTAGTTATTCTCCAGGGTCGAGAATCGAGAGGCCGAAGTCTTGGCTCTAACTTAGCCTGGATAGGTGGATAGAATGGCAATTCAAATCGAGCATCCTGCCTCAATGCTTCCTCGTGCAGCGTAGGCTATTCTCCACCAAAATCAATGCTGGCAGCTGCGTAATAAAGCATGAAGCTCTGCCAGCAAACTTTCCGCGCCCGGCCTGTCGAGCAGTTCGGAAGGAGCAAAAACGCCAACATCTAGCGCGTCATCCCTGATTGCTGCTTCGATGTCTATTGATGGCTGTAAAGTGGTCAGTGTAACTGTTTTTCTGTACGGAATAACAGGACCTCACCAGATAGATACTATCCTTCTGTATGCATATACCATGATCTGCCAAGGGAAGCGGCGGGTCATGGTCGATGATATTGTGTTGCGGCCAATCCTCAAGCCCTACCTCCTGAACTTCTACCTCGGTTTCAGGTGAGCTCGACGTGTTCTCCATACCAGGCAATTTCAGGAAGTTCAGAAAGCAGTCAATCCTCACACCTGTCCACTCGTATACTTCAGACAAAGAAACGGTACACTGTTCGATGGAGCCAATCTGCGCAAGATCTTCCTGTACCGCCCTGGCAGTCTCAAAAAGAGAGGACTCATGTCGGACGGGGATCTTCAGTGGAACCACGTTGACCGTAGGAGCCAAGAGTGTCGAAAGCCCTTCGTGGTCATGGGAACGATTTGCCAGGTAGACTCCTACCACGAGCTCGCCGAGTTCTTCAATTGTGCAGGTCAGACGCGCTAGAATTTTCGAATGAGCACGAGCATAGGCCGCGAAGAAAAGTGCTTGGAAGCTAATGGCATTTTCCTTCAGTTTCTGCGCAATCGGACCCAGACCATCAACCAGCTTAGGTCGAAATATTTCAACTCTCTCGGCCTTGAATGAAGCCGTGCGCCGTGGCTGGAATGTAGAGATTCCATTCAAGTATGAAGCCCAGAAAGTTTTCCGCTGGTCCTTGGTTGTGCCGTTCTGTAGCCAATTAAGATGATTCTGAAAACCGATTTCTAGATTTAGTGGATTACTTGAGCTGTCGCAGAACGACCTGAAAGCTTGCATTATTCTTGGTAAGCTGACTCCGTCGTAGAGAGCGTGGTGAATTCGCAACTTGAGAAATATAGCCGTAGGCGTTTCTGTTGCGCAAAGGAACACCGGTGGATGATCATAATGTGCTGGCAGCTCATTTGTAGCCTTCGTATGCGGAGCCCTCTCTCCTGCCCAGATCACGGGCGTGAGTACATCCTTCAGAACGATCTGAAGCCTGGATGCGTACGGGTTCGAACTGGACACAAATACTGTTCTAAGCACAGGAACAGCTTGCAGAAGTCGGTGCCAAGCTGAATTGATGGTCTGTCGACTTACGGAGCGCCCTTGGACCTGGTAGCAGAACTCAGGATAGAAGAGCTTACCTCCAGAAGCCTGCCACAATCCCAAGAAGAATTCTTGGCCTGAGGTGCATGGAAAGATATCTTCAACCTGGTCTTCTAGGATACCCGCTTCTTTCAATGAATTCCGAACACAGTTCTGATCGAGCAGCCATGTCTCGCTCTTACGGTGATTGGCCAATTCCCTGCCACTGGATGCTATTAAAGGCTTAGCAGCTTTAGCCATGCTCTGCACGGTAAGAGTTCTCAACATCTCACTGACAGGTAGCGATATTGACCGCTTTTTCAAAGCAGACGACACTTTGATAGCACTGATGCTGTCAAGACCGAGGTGGAAAAGACTCGTAGACTCTGTGATCTTCCCTTCTTCAACGCTTGAGATATTGCTCAGAACTTCTCTTATCGCTTCCTCATAGAGCAAAATTCCGGGCTGATGCATGTGCGTCTTTTTCGACACAGTCGTGGAGGCACCATGTGAATGACTCTCTGTCACTCCATTGGTCAATGCAGGCAGGTTGCAGTTGGACGATCCATCGGGCGATGACGTGAAAGCAGACGTCGAGGGCTCCATGATAAGTGAATCCAAGACGGAATCAACATCATGAAGCAGAGCTTGCGTACCTCTCATATCAAGAACATGATCTTTGCATGCCGTTCTCCAGATGATGTCTTCATGAAGTAGCTCCATCTCCACATTGATCGGGTATTCAGGATTGGAGGAACCCCCTACAGATGTGTACAGTGGCTTCAGCTGCTCAGTCTGCGATGGCTTCTTCTGGTACATAAATAGAGTGTCAAACAGGTGGCCAGCGGAGCCTTTGGCCAACGATTTGGCCTTGCGGAGAGGGAAATGCTGATGCTCAGAGATGGCAAGAATTAAGTCATGGACCCGCTTAACAGTGTCGAGCTTGCTTCCTTGGATCACGACACGGAAGGGGACAGTGTTCATGGTGGGAAACATCATCTGATCAGCATTCTCAATGTCACGGCCAGCCAGTACCACACCAAAGCAAACATCTCGACTGTTCGTATATCGTGCAAGTACAAGTGCCCAGCATGTGAGTGCTAGAGACTGCAACGTCACGCCTGCCGCTTTGCAAAACGCAACTACCGGGGTGACTGCCACCCTTGAAGATATTTCATGTCTGTTAGACGTGCCGTATGTCGGTCGCTCAGCTTGAGATGAACCAAATGGCTTGGTGTGCAGATCACTAAGATGATTGCTCCAGAATAAACATGACTTTTCAGACACAGAACCAAGTATGTGTTCCAGCACGGGTTCATAGTTCGGCCGCTCACACTGTAAGCCATTGTAACACCTCGCAACGTCCTGGTGAAGGAGATTGATTGACCAGCCATCATAGACAGCATGCGGCAGACCAACGATTAGATAAGTGGTTGGTCCGATATCCACAAAGGTTAAACGCAGGGCAACTGAACTGATGCCTCCCTGGACCGCTTGTGATTCTTGGTCAGAAAGAAGGATCTGCAGCTGGGCTTCGCTATCCACACTCGTAGAAATACATTCGAAATCGATGGTTCGGGGGACAAGCTGAGCGTAGATGGAGCCCGATCGCGGGTCTTCGACCTCCACGAAGACAGTTCTCAAGATATCATGAGAGGCGAAAGCAACACGCCACGCGGATTTGAGCTTCTCTGTATGAACGTCCCCTGACAATCTAAGGACATCTTGGGAATAGTATTGTTGGTAATTGGCTAGCATGGTCTCTTGCAGTGGAGTGACTGGCAACACGTTTAAGTAATTCTCGACCGGCACAGCTTGGTTTTCTAGACTCTTCCGTAGATCTTTACATATTTGGTCAAAGTCTGCTTTAAGAGTGCTCCCCGTGGAGGCTCCTGCAGCAGAAATACGTTTCACCATTTCAGCTATCGACCCTGCTTTCAGGATGCTGCTGACGGATATGGGGGTCCCAGCAGCTTTAAATCGTGAAGAAAGCTTGATCGCATCTATGCTATCAAGACCCAGTTCGAAGATTGAGGTATAAGGAGCAACTTCGTGTATATCCGAGCGTGAAAGGGTTGCAATCTCACGTCTCATCAGATCCGACATGGCGTCCCACCGAAAATCATCTTTGCAATGCACAGGGCCGTTCGTTAGCTCCTTACTACAAAATTCACCGGCAGAGCCAATCTTGCTCCTCTGTGCGTCAAGAGGTCGCGAAAGCACTGCTCTTAAAGATCTTGATGGCTTATGCAGATTGTTGCGCAGATCTATCAGGATTGTCCCAAAGAGGTCAAGAAGCTCTTGCACTTCTTCACAGCACAAATATTGACCTTGTGCGACGATAGTGCATGTAAAGGCATGGTCCGGCCCCTGCTCGACCTCAATGGCTAGCGGGTAGTCTGGCTGAGACTTGGAATCGATTTGTGTCCAGAGCTCACGCGACTGAGTGAATGTTGTAACTGCTTTCTGAAACACGAACAGCGAGTCAAACAGTGGCTCCGTTGACTTGAACCCCATCCATTTTCGGATACTGCTCAATGACGTGTGATGGTACGGCATGGCTGTAACATTGAAGGTATGACAAGTCTTGACAAGCTCTGCCAAGGTCGACGAAGCATCCGCGTTGATCTGACAAGGTATGGTATTGAAGAGAGGCCCAACTACGTTCTCCATCCCATCGGCATCAATCGCTCGGCCTGAGACCACAACACCGATTGCTGGAAAGATCTCGAATTTCTTCTTCAATGTCATCAACCAGCAAGCCTGGAAAATCGCGGCTTCTGTAACGCAGAGCTGCATTTGAAGTTGTCTCATGTTGTTCGAGAGGGCGATATTGGAAGATTTTGCAATGACCGTATTCGGGTCGTGCTTGAGGGGTAGATCCAGCAATCTTACCTCATTATAATTCTGTGTCCAAAAGTCCTTTGCCCCGGCAGGAAGCAACAGAGGACCAAGGGGGAGGACGTCGTGGTACGATGGCTTTGGAGATGGGGTGGATGATGCAGCATAAATGCAAGCAACTTCGTCTAGCATGCGACCAAGGCTGATGCCATCGTAAAGACCATGAAAGATTTTAAGGTGCAGCAATCTGTGCTCTGGCACGTGATAGAGGTCGAGCCCCCATAACTCCTCCTCAAAAGTTCTCACACGCTCGGCCCACTTCTCAAAATTCTGGTTGAGGGCATCTTCGTAGCCGGCTTTTTGTACTATTGGCAGATGCTGGAACCTGGCTGAAGGGGTCGCTGCATCCTTAAAGACGACTTGTGCATATCCGTCATTTGTTGGAACAAATTTAGTTCGCAGGATTTCATTCTCCTCTTCAACACGCGTCCACGCTGCCTGAAGGCGAACGATGTCCAGATCTGCGTCAAGAACGAAGATGAAGCTTGAAAAGTACACAGACGCGCAACTGCTCAGACATCTGGCGATCATGCCTTCTTGAAGTGGTGTACAGGGTGCAATCTTCTCAATTTCGTGATCTCTTACATGGGATGCCTTTTCAATGGCGGCACGATGAGTCTTCTCAAACGCAACAATTCTTTGCCTTGCGACTTGCCTGGCAGTCACGTTGTCTTCCAGCATCGGGACGTTCTCTGTCAGTGTAGTCATCATATCGCCGACGACGGGATTCCGCATGATCATAGATGGAGTGGCAGCATCAAACCCTGCACGCTTCAACAATCTTGAGAGAGAAATTGCAGATATGGAATCAAGACCGAGCTCGAACAGCCTAGATGATGGAAGAACAGCCTCCACAGGGAGCGCGATTACCCGAGAAATTGATTCGACGATCGTCCTCATTGGCTTAGGGTCGATATGCTGTAGAGAAGTGCCCATCCCTGACAGCTCCTGTAAGTCAGTTGCAGATGTGGCTTCGAACAATGCTCTCAAAGGCTTGGTGTCAACTTTGTTGTTCGTTGACAGTGGCATCGCAACGAGTGGAATGATGAATGTAGGGATCATATAAGCTGGCAAGGAACTATTGCAGGAACTGCGAATATGATGTAGCAGTGCTCGATGCTCTGGATTGAAATCTATTGCGGCGTGTTCCGCATCAGCACGTCTTTCGGACAACGCAACAAATGCCACAAGTTGCTCTTTGGAGCCTTTGTGGTGTCTCAATACCATTGTGGCAACTTCTTTGATCATTTTAGAAGCCTGGTGGATGATATGGTTGATTTCGCCAATCTCGAGTCGTTGTCCACGGAGCTTGACTTGGTCATCAGCCCGGCCTATGAAACAAAAGCTCCCGTCATGCAAAAGCCGTACCAGATCGCCAGTGCGATAGACGTGCGCCTGCTGGTTGTTGAGGAACCTGAATTTCTCTGCTGTCAGCTCCGCTCGGTTGAGATATCCTTTACCAACCAATGGACCTGACACACAGAGCTCTCCAATGGCACCTTTGAGCACGAGATGTTCAGTGCCAGGCTCCAGGACGTATGCTCCAACATTGTCATATGCACACCCGATATTCGAGGGCTTTGCTGTTTTCGGAACACGTGGATACATCGTGCATCCAATGGTCACCTCGCTAGGACCATACCCATTATAGATGACACCTACATCGCCCCAAGCATCAATGATATCTTGCCTCAACTGCTCGCCACCTGTGATGAAAGCGCCTCGACAAAGAGAAGGGCATTCTTCTGGTGTCAGCAAGCGCGCAAGACTAGGCGTAAGGTCGATATGAGTTATCTGTAGCGCACGTATAGCTGCTGGTAGATCTTCAAATAGTAGATCTCGCGAGGCGGATGTAACGCAGATGCCAATGCTCCAACTCCAATACTGTTCCATGACGCTCACGTCAAAATGGAACGATGCAAACTGGAGGAAACGTGAATCAGCATCCCAAGACCCAGCAAACAACCGCTGAAATGCAAGTACGAATTGGACAGCATTCCCATGGGTAATTAGACAGCCTTTGGGCGTGCCTGTCGTTCCAGAAGTGTACAGGCAGTAGCATACGTCCTCCCCGACAAGCTTCCGCGATAGGGACACAGCATTGCAGGGCAAGCCCTTGTCCTGGAGTATTTTATCAATGCTGAGAACTTGGAGCTTGTCTATAAGCGCTGTAGAGCTTGCTTTATCTTGGGTTGTGCAGAGCACTCTGCATTTTGAGTCATGCAGTATGAATCTCTTGCGTGCTTCTGGAGCGGATGGGTCTATCGCAAGGAACCCACAACCAGCTTTCAAGATTCCGAGGATCGTAAAGGATGCTTCGGGGCATTTATCAAAGCAAATCCCGATCAAATCACCAGGACTGGCACCATTCTGATGTAAGATGTGAGCAACCCTGTTGCCTTGCTCATCCAGCTGGGAGTACGACCACGACATGTTGAAGGCCTTTCCATCAACAATGTTCGTCGCGAATTCAAATGCTATCTTCTTTGGAGAATCCCGGGCCATGATCTCCACGAATTGATGCAGGTATTGTACTCTAGTCTCTATCATAGATTCTTTTGCCGGGGCAATCGAGATCAGTTCTTTGCCAACATGGATGAACTTAGAAGCCTCATCATCTAGCCGCTCAAGGGTGTCTAGCAGACTCGCATCGAGCTGCTTCACAAGTAGCTTACCTTGCTCAATAGGGACGATATCTTTGCGTAAGGTCAAACGAAAACAAAGCTTTTCGAGGTCATTGATGAGCATTTCAACAGATACAGTATAGTTTGCCCTAGCATCTTCTGCCAGCAGATGCCACAAGCATGATGACGCAACTGTGCCTCGGTTTTGAAGGACGAAAAGAGTATCAAACAGATCGCCTTGAGCACTTGACCATCCTTGTGACAACGCGAATGGATTCTTTAAAAGGGCTGAGTTCTGCCTGGTAGCCGCTGCAAGCAGCGCGCGGTTTGTGGTACCCTCAACCTTGACCGATACAGGGAGCGTGCTGATGCAGGGGAAGAGCACGGAGTCTTCGCCGTCTTCGACTGAACGCCCGCTCAAGACCACGCCAAAGGTCGGAGCCTTCTCCCCTGTATACGCTGATAGCAGTCGAGCCCAGGCACACTGACCAGCAACTTGCAATGTGACGCCTGCATTTCTGCAACTCGCCTGAAGCTGAGCAAGACTATGGGAGCAGCAAAACTCAATCGTGTGAAAGCCTCCGTCTTCCGGAGTGTGCGAATGGAGATCAGGGAACCTCGCTGATGGAACAATACTTGAATCACCTATAATGGCCTTTGTGTCTGTTGGCTGGGACGAGCTCTTGTGCAACATCCTCGATATACATGGCTTGATGGGATTGACACTTCCAAGCCTCTCGCCTCTATATGCCGTAGTCACCTCGTCAAGAAGCAGCTCAAACGTCCTCGCATCGAAAAGTGCGTGGAGCATGGAGATGCGCATTGTCCTGCGACTGCCCAGATTTCCAATGACCACGCGCCACGGGGGCTCGTGTAGCGACTGGAGCAGTGATCTTGCATATGCAGAGTCATTCGGTGCAGTACCGTCGTCTTCCAACCACGGCAATGCGTGTGCACTCGAAGAGTACAGTATCATTGCGAAAGGACATTGTATATCCTCGATCTCGACAAACCCAGTTCTAAGGATGTCATGCCTCAAAGACACAGCTTCCCAAGCGTTTCTCAATAGGCGCGTGTCGATGTGACCGTCGAGCTCATAGTATACACTGTTGAGGTAGTCATGGCCTGTGGAGCGAAGGAAACCAGCTAAGACTCTTGATTGAAACGTTGTACAGGGCCGGATCTCCTCCACTACCTGACGACTTATATGATGCCGCTCACACACCTCATTGATGTGCTTATCACTGAAAGCATCAAAGTCGAACAACAAATGGTCTTGCTCATTGAGTAAGTGTGTCTCGCAGAGAGAGGCAATTCCAGGTACTGTAGCTGCCTCCAGTATATCTCCACTCGATAATCGATAGCCTTCTTTCCTCAACTCTGCCGCAATCTGTATTGCGCTGAGACTATCGAAACCAAGGTGAAAAATGGTTGTATCCCTGGACACACTGGAGACATGGTCATCAGATATTTTGGAGAAGACTTCCAAAACGTGGCGTTCTAGCGGAGACCAATCTCTCTCATGATGTGGCCTACAATCTTCCGTCTGCGTCGCAGTGACTTCACCAGACATTATCGTCGGACTGATCAACATCAACGGCTCTCTGTGCCCGAGAACGGAGCAATCGATGGCAAGGGCATCAGGATAACGTATCGTATGGCCTAAGAGACTATCGAAGTCGGCGAGTAAAAGGTCTGCTGCACCTAATGGCAATATATCTTGCTCCACATGCATGATTACGTCCAGCTGATTCAAATGGGATATTGGCACTAGCTCCAGGATCAAGGGAAACTTCATGTCTCCCAGATCTTCCTCTAGAGCCCAAATAGAGGAACAGAGTTTGGGTGGCTCGCCTTGAAGCAATAGCATAGTGTCAAAGAGTCTGCTCACTCCTAGACTTTGCTGGATCCGACGCAAGGATGAAGGCTGAAAGGACAAAGCCGCAAGAGTGTGATCTTGGAGTCTTTTTGCTACCTGTTGGTTAGTATCGTGCCTACCAAAGGTTGTCCGGACTGGGAGAGTATTGAAGCACGGTCCAATGATCTTTTCGATGTCATGTATAGGTAGATTCCGACCGCTATAAACATTTCCGAAACAAATATCTGTACCATTGGAATATTTGGCCAGCAGGCGAGCCCAAGTCAGCTGCAGCAAGGTCAAGAGTGTGACATTCATCTGCTTGCTGCTGTCCAGCAGCGCTCCTAATGACGTCCGCGAACAGATATGATGATTTGATTCCTGTAGTCTCGATCCAGCTTTCTGCTCCTGAGGGGGTGGCGACAAGAGCTTTGGTTCGTAGTCCCCCAGATGCGCTCGCCAAAACTGATCTGCGGATTCCTCCGCCAGACCAACCATATAATCAAGATACGGCTCAACAGAAACGACAGCTTCGATAGAGCCGCCTCGGTAAGCTCGTTCCACATCATGAAACAGTAGTGACATAGATTGCGCATCGTAGAGCGCGTGATGGATCTGCAGGATCAGCCTGGGTGGGGACGCATTGGATTGTTTCTCAACTGTGAATGAGTAGGGGGGAACCATTAATCTCTCCCACTCAGTTTCCGCCTGGTCGGCACGATTTCCATTATGCCACGGGGCAACATAGTCAGCAAGAACGATTTGTGCAAAGGGAAATTGAGATGAAGAAGTAAGAACGAAGCCGGTACGGAGTATTTCGTGACTACTGATACAAGTGCTCCATGCATCTTGCAGCTGTTGCAAGTCTCCAAAAACAGTGAACGTTAATCGATTTTGGTAAGCTCCACTGCGACCGCCTTCTGCGTGAGAGAGCATAGCCTGCTGAAGTGGCGTACATGGTAGTATCTTTTGGACAGAGTATCCCTTTCGAGCATATCGCAATCGCACGGTCTCTTGCCACTCTTCATCGAAGATCTGTCGCAGTTTTGACTCTCCACCATACTTAGTGCTGCGAGCGACTTGTATAGCTGAGAACGCTCTCAGCAGCCTTGAGATCGAAGCGTGGCGCAATATTAGTGACGCATCAACAACTCCAAAGCCTGAATCAAGCAGTTTCCTGGAAAGGCCGATGCAACTTATGGAGTCTAGGCCAAGGGCAAAGAAGGAAGTATTGCGATCAATGACAGACAACGGCGAGCCAGTCACCTCCGCAATTGCTCGAGCCACTGATGTTTCATTTATGTCCATAGGTTCCCATTCCTGCATATTGTCCCCTTGTCTGGCATATTTTTTCAATGCGGCAGGGTCCATATTAAGGTACATTTGCTTCAAGACTTTTCTATCAGCCTTTCCCTGGGACGTGAGTGGGAGCATTTCAACTGGTATCAAGTAGTCTGGCACCATGTATGTGGGTAATTGTGACTGTAGTTTCTCAAACAGAGACCTGTTGTAGGACATCGTGTCAACTTTCGAAGACGGTAACGACGACCAATAAGCAACGAGGCGACTTGGTGTCTGCTCTGATTGCTCAGTCACGAGACAAATACTATCCGAGACGGCTGTCTCTCGAAGAAGTGTATGTTCAATTTCACCGAGCTCTATCCTCTGCCCTCTCAGTTTGATCTGATCATCCTGACGTCCATGGAACAATGTACTACCATCCGGGAGCATACGACCGAGATCACCGGATTTGTAGAGTTTGCCATATTCTGCATGATCAATGAACCTTTCGGCTGTTAGGCTTGGGTCATTGAGGTAGCCCCGCCCAACTTGGTCTCCCCCAATCCAGATTTCGCCCAAAGCACCTTTAGGAAGAGGACAAAATGCCTCACTATTAGAAATGAACATCGATGTGTTAGGAAGAGGATTGCCAATGTTATTGATGTGGTCGGAAACAGAGACCTTGCAACGAACGGAGCATATATTCGTTGTCTCGCTGGGACCATACCCTTGATACAGGCCACGATCAGACCAGTCACGAAAGACTTTCGAGGTCACAGCTTCTCCAGCGGTAACCAGCATCTGCACATTAGGGACATTACTTGGCCTTATAAGGGCTGCCACGGAAGGTGTAAGACTCAGATGGGTAACATTTAGCAATCCAATGAGGTGCTCCATATCACGGAAGAGGATATCGTTGGAGGTGGCGCAAAGCCGCATTCCCATGTGCCAAGCATACAGTATCTCGAACACGGAAACTAGAAGCGTCAGAGGATATTCCCTATACTGAGGTGGACCTTACCATCAAAGGCTGGGGAGCAAGCTTGCAGCAGTGTTCCACTTTCCACCGATGGATATAGTCGGGACAAAACGTCAATGTTACTGAGAATGTTTTTGCGCGTAATCAACACTCCCTTTGGTATGCCACTGCTGCCAGAGGTGAAAACGGCATATGCAAGGTTTGTATCATCAACCGTACAGGGAACTGCATCGTGCTGTGCACTCTTTGCGATTTCATCGAAGAAGAGAACACGCTGGATTTTGCCTAGAAGGTCGTGGCCCTGAAAGCCGAGACTTGTCAGGCAGTGGCGACATTTTACACCTTCGATGATTCTGCGTGTGCGTTCTGGAGGAGCTTGCGGATCTATCACAATGTATGCTGCACCAGCTTTCAAAACCCCGAGGATGGATACATAGAGCGGAATGGACTTATTCATGAACAGACACACAATCTCGTCGACCAAGATGCCTTTGGCCAAAAGAAATTGAGCCACAAGACCTGCTCTTTCGCTCAACTCGCAGTAAGTTAACCTCGATCTTTTCAGGACAGCGGTGAGTGGGTCAAAATCGTCCACAAAATCTATCGCAACTCGCGTCGGATCTTCGCGCGCAAGGCGATCAATCGTAGATGAAATTGTGATTGTGCAATCGATGCTAGAGCAAGTTGTATTTGCGATTGATAAGTCTTGAGGTTTGAATTGATCAAGAATCTCTTCCCAGAGGTTATGTGAGGCCAAAGTGTAATAGTCAAGAATAGCTTCAAACTGATTCACCAGCAATTCGACCTGCTCAGTACATAGGACCGAGGTGTCATAAGTGGCTTTCACCTGAACTTGATGAGAACCTGGTTCCAACTCGAAAACCAAAGCATATTGAAGAAAATCTGTTCCATCTATTACCGAAAGACTAGATTTGGTCTCTTTGTTGCTTTCAAGACTCTCCTGCCACACGAATAGTGCATCGAACAAAACTTGATCGCCAGTAATTCCAGCCGCCCTCTTGATATCACGAAGAGGCACCTGGCCAAAATGAAGGAAATTATGATGCAGCTGGTGCGTGTGCAAGAGAAGATCACCTACTGTTCGTATGTGATCGAAATTGATTTTAATAGGCAGTGTTGAAATGCAAGGGCCAATCATGTTCTCTATGCCTGGTATGGAAAGTGTGCGGCCGGAAGATACAGAGCCAAAGACAACCTCAGAGGTCCCACAGTAGAATTTCAAAAGAGTAGCAAAGGCAGCAGATGCAATGCTGTGCCGGCTGATACGCAGTCCCTTGGACATCGAATTTAGAAGAGACAAGTTTATCTCGATAGCTCGGCGGAAGGTACGAATCTCGGCTGTACATTTTCTCATGTTTAGCACAGGCAAAGGTGTTGGGACCGCGCCTCGGAGGTGGTCCATCCAGTAGTCCTGAGCGGTGCTAGCGATTTCGCTGGAGAGGAAAGCCTCCTCGCACTGAACGAATTGCTGGAACTGAGGTCTCTTAGGAGGCTCCTTCCCTTGGATCAGTAGATTAATGTCGGTCATCATAAGATCCCAGGACCAGCCATCATAAAGAGCATGATGGATGTATACAGATACTGTGGTGCGGTTCATGACCGAGGCAATCTTAAAGCGTAAAGGCTGCAGAAGAGACATGTCGGAGACTTCGTTTAGTCCACACGCGTTACCAGGATCATGCTGTTCAAACTCGATCCGGGTAGCACAGTCTAATCTCTTCCACACAATGCGAGCAAAGCCAGACTCTTGCTCATCGAACTGAACGAAACCAGACCGGAGGATTTCATTAAGCTCAGCAAGTCGACGGAACGCTTTCATAAAGTCTTCCACAGACACCGAGTTTGCAATCTCGATCTTCAGCCCGTTGAAATTGACGTGTTTTGCAATCACAGATTCCGCTAGCATTGCTGATTGCAGTTTGCTGCATGGCACGATATCCTCGATTTCCAAGAATTCTGCTGTACTGAATCTTGGCTTGAGCATATCTTTCATGGTCTCGGGCGAAGCCGTTCGGCTGTTTATTGCTGCAACCATAACAGAATGAGATGTCTGCCTTTGCTGCAAGGCTTCTGAAAGTGTGGCAATCGTATCAGCTGCCAATATATCTGTCGCTGACACCTCGATGCCGCTATGCCTCAACTTGGAAGCAAGGCTGATGGCACGGAGCGAATCGAGTCCTTTTGACCACAGATCCTCTGAACAGGTAGTATCAATGCTAAGCTCCTTTCGAACAACGTCAGCTAAGAAGCTCTCCAGCTCACTACCAGTGTTAGGTGTAGCCGAGTCTACAGCAAGACGTTGGCTGAGGTATAGACTTTCCAGGCTCCGCCTGTCTACCTTTCCAGAAGGGAGTCGTGGCAGCTGTCCAGTAAGTATGACGAAGTCCTTTGGGCGCATGATGGGGTTTAGCCAGGATTTGCATTTTTCTTGCAGAGCTTGACGAGAAGTGGATATCTGCGCATCGTTATCAATCAAACAGAAAGCGATAAGGTTGCCCTCAATGATGCTGCAAACTGAGAAGCGAACGCTCTCGACCTGACATATGATTTGCTCGACTTCGCCCAGCTCTACTCGCTGTCCTCGGATCTTGACTTGACCAGAAGCAATTCGTCCGAGGTACTCGAGTTGGCCACTTGGCAAGAGTCGCGCTCGGTCTCCGCTGCGATAGACAAGTCCATAGCTGGGCAACGTTACAAATGCAGCACGAGTCTGCTCAGGGCGGTTGATGTAGCCTTGCGCAAGCTGTCCACCAATAGCGAGCTCCCCAACGAAGCCCATTGGAAGGATGTGAGGCTCAAGAGTTTGTTCTTCCGCGATCACAAATGCTGAAACCGTGGAGAGTGGCTGGCCGATAATGCCAGCTTTTGACTCACTGTTGATAGTGGGTGCGACAGTGCAATGTATAGAGGCCTCCGTTGGGCCATACATGGGTAGAAGGACACGTCCACGATCTGGGCAGGGCTCAAATTTCTCAACCACAGACGTTGGAAGCACTTCGCCAATCGTCAGAAGCAGGTTCAGAGATGGTACTGTACTCCAATTTCGCAGCAACGTGCCTGCTACCGTAGGAGTAAGTTCAGCAGCATCTACTCTGAGCGCATTCATCACGCCAGTAAGATCGTTCAGCATGGTCTCTCGATGACAACAGACCAGAGTAGCTCCTCTGTAAAAAGTGAAAAAGATCTCGAAAATGGAGACATCAAACGTTGGTGCGGCGAATTGTAGGAACCGATGATATTGTGGCACATACTTGTCATGAGCCAACAATGCTTGTGAAACTGCTCGATGGGAAATGCCGACCCCTTTCGGCAAACCAGTAGAGCCAGACGTATACATGATATACGCAAGCTTCTCCGCGTGTTTCTGTGCCGGAAAATCGCCAGACACGCACAAGTCGGCAATGTGACTTTCATCTTCTTCATCTATTACCAATGAAAAGATTTCGAAGCCGAGATTCGAGTAAGAAAAGCGGTGTCTGCACTCTTGTGTGGTCACTACCACTTTCGCACCCACGTCTTCCATAATAAACTTTAGCCTTTCCTGAGGTACATCAAGATGTAAGGGACAGAATGCTGCTCCGGTCCTCAATATAGCAAGCTGGGAGATATAAAGCTCTGGGCTTTGTGGTATCAGTATGGGAACAGTGATACTGTCGGTGCAAGCTTCGTGCTGACCGTAACTCCGATTAATGGCACGGTCGAGACGTTTTGCTAGGCAATCAGAGAGCCGATGCAGGTCTTGGTACGAAAGCTGGACTCTTTTCCTGTTTGAAGAAAGAAAATCGATGGCAGTCGTAGAAGGTGAGGCAGCATGTACAAGTTGATGCAGGAAATGTGGCCCAGGAACGAGCTGTCTCTCTGGATTGACGATTGATAAAAGCGGAGCCTTTGGGGGGGAGAAGTCATCTGACGCTGCTTGATTGCTCATTTTGTGCTCAAGTTGGCTCAGTATTTGTGGAAGGAAAGAGTATGGAACAGAACCAGCTGATGCTAAGGCAGTAGTCCCAGACTCACTGTCATACCACAGCTCGAGCGCAAGGATGGGTTCTCCATAGAGCTGGTGATTGTCAGTTCTGCCGCCTGCTTGCAAGCTTTTCCTAACCTACCGGTTTCAGAGCGATGGAAGTATGATGATCATCTCTTTCATTGACGCCTTCAGCTTCTACCTTATTCCAGGAGCCGAGGAAGGCATTGGCTTGAACAGCGTGCCCCTCGAAAGAAAACACCGGCTCTGTGATGCTTGTATATGATTGGAGAAGTGAAGCCCAAGAAAGAATGAGAATATCCTGCGATAGAGAGACTGGCCATTTCGTCTGTAGCGCTACTCTACCAGACTGGGTCTTGGCTGTGTCAAACAGATTAGGAAACTTGGTGTATATGACTCTGTGATCCATATTGTCACGACGGATATCGACGCGAAGCTCAGGACGTTCACGGCGGATGAATTGAGACTCTGTCTGATGCGCAAATCCGCGTGTGCAAGAACCTCACAGACATCATGGCTGCTAGCTGTTCTGTATTTGCAACAGTAGCTCCTCCGTCGCGTTTTCTTCGGCTTGTTGAAGAAACGTTGTTTGCTGACACCGGTTTATCCCAATTCCCGTGTCTTGATATTGTGCATGACTAATCCACCAGGCCCTGTTCTACATGTCTACTCCTAGTCCTACCATGACAGATTCGCTCGACCGGCCTTTAATTGCCCTTTTAATGGCTGTTTCTACTCCTGTTGCTCACCAAAAGTTATGTCCTCACTTCTCTCTTTCACCGAGATTCTGGTGAAAGCAAGAGCGTCGACCATGACCCGTTGACACATGCCGAACCACATGGTGCGAATTTCTCCGATATCGCATCTAATCTAATCTATGGCTGCAGGATCTAATCAGATTTTAATCAGCTTGGCACATGAATTATTCCCTTGGTATGATTCTTGTCCATTTTTGTCCATTCTTGTCCCTTCTTGTCCATTCTTGTTCGTCGAGGTCGGACTTCTAATTGCCCTGCTGTGACTCATGACGGGTGCTCTCGCTTCTGGTGTAGAGCAGATCGATGCGGTCAAGGACGGGAGGAGGATGGGAAGGAGCAACTGCTAGTAAATCAAGGCGAAGACTAAACTCCATCCAACACATCCAGTTCTTCTCCCACCCAAAGTATGTCATCCTACTGTCATCTAGAAGCTCTGCAACTCAAGACTTTATGCTACAGTGCCTGTCACAGACCTTTGTGCTTAAACTGCTGTGTATTGTACTATTTCTGAGTCATCGTATCTATTTGATCAAACTTGAGATTTGTTTCTAGTATCTACAATGTCGCCGTTTCTGGAGGTTAAGACAAACTCTGGCAGCATCACTTGCAAACCAATATGTGAGAATGGTGAGAATACCTTGCTGCAGCGGTCAGAGCACAATGGATTTCTGCAGAAGCCGAAGCTCTGCCCTGTGGAACCTCAAGAAATACACAATCTACTATGCATTGGCTTTGGCCCTGCAAGTTTAGCAATCGCTGTCGCACTGAACGACGCGCTGGACAATGCCAATTGTATCGATGGCAAACAGCCCAAGGTGTGCTTCTTGGAGAAGCAGCATCAGTTTGCATGGCATGCAGGCATGCTTCTCCCTGGCTCAAAGATGCAGATATCCTTTATCAAAGACTTAGCAACCTTACGTGACCCTCGAAGCGAGTTCACCTTTCTCAATTACCTCCATAGGCACCACCGACTTGTCCAATTCTCGAATTTGGGTACTTTCCTGCCGTCAAGGGCTGAGTTTGAAGATTACCTCCGCTGGTGCGCCGATCACTTTACTGACGTGGTCGAGTATGGTCAGGAGGTTTTAGAGGTGTCACCCAAAGAGGTATCCGAACCATCTACCAAGATCGATTACTTTCTTGTCAGCAGCCGAAACATCCACGATGGTAGCGTGTCCATGAGAAAGGCTCGCAATGTCGTGATTGCTGTTGGAGGGCAACCGCACATCCCAGTGTCTTTTCCAAGCGACGAACCACGTGTCATCCACTCGTCACAATACCGCAGCCGTGTACCCACGCTGCTGCCGGACAAGACCAGTTCCTACAGCATAGCTGTCGTTGGTAGCGGCCAAAGTGCAGCCGAAATCTTTCGCGATCTGCACTATAAGTACCCGTCAGCGATGATATCATTGATCATCCGGGACACAGCCTTGCGCCCAAGCGATGACTCCCCGTTGTAAGTTGTTACTCCCTGTTCAGGTGCTCTACTAACCAAAAAAAGTGTAAATGAAATCTTTGATCCGGAACGAACAGACCATTTCTACAATGGTCTTCCTGCTGCTCGCGCGGATGCGCTAAGAGCAGACAGAGGCACCAACTACAGCGTTGTGCGATTGGAGCTTCTTGAACAGATCTACCACGACCTTTATGAACAGAGAGTCAAGCAACCGGATGAGGCGCAATGGCAACGTCGCATTCTACCCTCTCGTGAGATCACCCACGTTACGAAGGACGAGGGCAGTAAGTGTGGCAAGCTGAGCCTCACCATCAAGAACATCAGCCCTCTAGGAAGTCCACCAGGCTCAGATCAGGAGATGCTTGAAGTCGACGCTGTCATACTCGCAACAGGCTATGTTCGAAACGCCCATGAAAAGATGCTGAAGAGCTTGGAGCACCTCCGGCCTCAAGCAGACAACAACTGGCGCGTACGGAGAGACTACAAGGTGGAAATGGATAGGAGCAAGGTCAGCGCCGATGCTGGAATCTGGTTGCAGGGCTGCAATGAAAGCACGCATGGCTTGTCTGACACTCTTCTGTCGACGTTGGCTACCAGAGGTGGCGAGATGGTGGATTCTATCTTTGGGACAGCTCACGCAAACGGAGAATAGCATCTACTTGCACGCAGCGTATGTTGCTACTATGAAGGAATCTGAAAGGTTTTTGCCAGATGTCTTATCAAAACGAAAGGACAGTCGAGAAATGTGTTGTATCAAAAGCTCGGTTTCCGAGCTGTGGATATCGGCAGAGCCTCAACGCGGCAACAACATCATCATGAGCCTACTATATATTGAGCAACTGCAAGATGAAAGACCCCATCCAGAAAGAACTAGCTACCATTAGCATAGCTTATCAATCAAATCTCGTTCATACTTTCTATAGATCTACTTCTAAGACCTCCTAATTAATTACAGAAATCAAGTTTCAAGAGTGCTTTCAAGATATCGATCACCATTACCAAGTACGAGATCACACTTTCATGCTCTTGTCCTTTGATGGCAGGTTCTTCCGCCGTACTTTGGGTGAACTCATTGATGATCCCCTATTCCTCGACTCCATCGTCGAATTCCCCCAAGTCATATTGCTGTATTATATAATCCGCCGCCCAAGGGATTCGATGACATCGCTGCGACTGCTCCGCTTCTGTCCTCCAGCCCATGGGGGAACGTATGGTTTGTCTCGTGCTATGTAGGAATCAGTTCTCGGAAACTCGCTTGATCGTAAGATGCCTATACAATATTTCTTATACATTCATATGAGAAATTCTTTTCATGATGGCAAGTACAGATACTGCCGATGATCTCCATGTATATCTGGTTACTGCCATGAAAAGAGATTCCCGTCGAGCAAAAAAGCATTGGAGCTTCAGATTTCAAAATGCATTAGTTATAGTTATAAAGCATGGCCATATCGGCCTCTATGGGTATCATATCATGTCCCTGTTCCGGCTCAAAATTCGACCAGAGCCAACACCGCAATGCAATCATTATTTCTCTACGTAACAATGAACTCGTGGTTTTCGTGCATGCGAAAAGGTTTTCACCGCAGCAACGATAGCCAAGTCCATCGACTATCTCTTTTCTTATCCCTTTTCTCTTTCTTCCTTCCCCTGTCGTCATCAGCACCATCATCAATTCTTGCATTTTTCTCATTATCGTCATCCTCTTCATCATCCAGATTCATCCTATACCTCCTCACACTGTCCACCTCACCATCCTTCTTCTCATGAAAGAATCCCTTCCTCTCGCATTTGCCACGACACCAGCGTGGTGTAATCTTCTTCCATAGCCCACGAACACCACTGTACGATTGATGGATCTCTTCGTACTCGCGCCGACGACTTTCGGTCGACGTCCAAGAAATAATGGAGACTGGATGAGGTCGTGGAGGCAGTGACTCCAACGAAGCAATGAGCTTTTCTTCCAGAGTGGAGGATGATGTGTCGGCTAGTGTGCTGGACGAGGAAGAAGTGGTGGCGGTAGCATTTGGCCCTGACCGGTCGTAAAGGGATGGTAGCGGCGTTACTATGGCGGAGGAGTTTCTTCTGCTGCTCCTTGCGGACCCGAAGCGCGGTGTTGAGGTCGTTGAGGCTAGATAGGCGAAGCCGTTCTCTGTTTTGATGATACAAGGGGATGTATGTCGAGTGTCTGGGGTAAAGCTGTATCTAGGACAAGGTTGATCTGTAACATTCCATTCGTGAGTCAATGCAAGCGTGCCTTCCAATGATTGGAACAGTTGACAGCTCCGTCGGTGGAAGGAGATTAAATCCGGGCCATTTCGACGGACCGGTACGCTGCTTCGTCGGCGCGGAATTGGAGCTGTGGGTCCCGTGGGGACCTTGGGTCGACGTCTCTTCCGTGGTGATGCAGAGGGTGTCCTGTTTTCTTCTGATTTGGGGCAACTGGCTTTCTCTGTTCTGGAATGTTGGCTGCTCAAGGCTGGCTTAGCACAGTCTTTCTGGTCTATCCTATCGGTCGACGAGGGTCTGACAGAAGTATTCTCTCTAAGTGCTTGTTGGCCTTCGCTCCTGAACATTTCCTTGTGTGATTCATGTAAACTCGCAGCTCGCAGACCATTGTGTGAAGGCTCGCCGTCTGAGACTCGGCCCGGACATAGCCTAATAAGATCTGAAGACATAAAGTCTACCAGCATTGGCTGATTTCTTTGGTCGTCCTACACTGATCTCGAGATATAGAAAAGACAGAGAACGAGGAGGTTTATTCGGTCGCAGTCACGGTGTTGCGATTAGGCGGATGAATTGGAGAGGTCCTTGAGGAATCTTTCGTATGGGGACAGCGACGCATAAATTTCGACATCTAGTACACCTTCATATTCTTGAACACACCACCCGAAGCATACCTGAGCGGGAAACGGTGGCTTCAAACATTTTCCATGGTGATATGGTAGGTAGACTCCTTCACATGCTTCGTGAAACAATATCATATGCAATCAAGCTCCTGAACAGTCAGTTTGCGCCAACGGAAAGAACGAGTAACAGTGCAAGAAGGGATCATGAACGAAAGTCTGCTGATACAATTGTAAGAATGATGGTCCATGTTTAAAACTACCACACAACTTCACAGTCTTATGGACACCACAAAATCAGGAGAGGCTGCATGAAGATCCAGTTGGTCTGCTGTGGGCGCTCTCATTGGTGTTGGCTACTGCAAGCTAGCACCTCAAGATGGTAGACCATTATAGTTGTCATGCAAGCTAATGCCAATGGAGATTTCAAAGAAGCATTATTGGAACGCCATTTGTGCTCCAGCATCCTACCCTCGGACACTCCGAAAGGCAGGTGTGAAGCATCATTGGAGTGAGGTGATGGTGTTGGTGTTGGTGGTGCAAGATTTGAAGGAGGTATGGAGAAGTCGTGCCCAAATGTTGCGCTCGATTAGGGGCAACAGGGGCCATGGATTATTGTCTGCACCTTAGCCTCTCCGCCCCCAAGCTGGAAACAAGCCTGTTCCCGCCCGCTGCATGCCTTGCGAAAAAGAAAACCCTCCTGACTGCAGGTTATGTCTCTTGTGCATGACATGTCTCTATATGCCGAGGTAAAAAGGTGTGACGCCGGACACTGGGCTTTACCAATTCGAGAACGCACAATCTGAATTCTTCCCGCCGCCAATAATAACAATGTCAAGTATGGTTGAGGCATAGTTCGTTCTCACCGCCGTCGTCCCCCCTTGCTCCGGGTTCTCCCTATATCTGCTGTCATGCGGTATCCTAGTGAGCAGTGTGATCAACGTTTGGAAGCAGGCCGTCTAGAGCGAGCAAACACAAACAACCTTCCCAAGACTCGAAAAGCGATGACTGCAAAAGCATGGAGTATGAGCTACCATTTACATATGCTAAAACCCTCGAAGACTTCGAAAGAAATTGACCCTAAACCGGTCATCTTGGGAAAAGAAGCAAGCCTCATCTCTGATCACATTCGTCCCAGCTTCTGTTCCACATCCACAAAAATTGTCCTGGTGACGCAGAGCTGCCCCAAGACCAGCCCAATGCGGTAAGAAGATTGTCTCTCAGGGTTCAATTACGGTACCCCATTGAAGGGCAACGATCAATGCGTACTTTACGGGCTTTTTCTTCAAGTCGCAGCTTGCAGGATGTGTTAATCAAAGAGCTTGTCCAACAAAGCCACTTCGGTGGCATTATGTATTGATTCGACGGATAGCTTCCTCAGGACTGTACATCAGTCCAAGTCTCGAGAATATCTTTTCAGCGATAGCTTGCTAATAACAATCATGGACAATAATGAACTACTGTACTGTCGGTAGGAGTAGGCCATCTTACTCGATAGGGTATTTTGCCCAACATCTCTTGAAGTTATTAGGACCCAAGGCAGCCAGCAGCGACGACCAATGTACCCGGACCACTTGAAACCACGTAAGGGGTAGAACGTGATGGTCGAAATGATCCAAGTGTGTCAGGGATTCCTTGTCTCTCACCCAATTGGTACCAAGACTTCCGAAAGTGCTGTACGTGGCTCCAGCGTGCTCGAGGGACTCAGAAACGAATAGTAGGCTTCCTGTATCGTTTGATCACTTAAGGATGATAAACGGTATCGTGCTTGAAGAGATCATATTTGCTGAGGTCAAGTTAAGGGTTCCGGGCTGAGGAACTTTATTGACCAAAGCATGAAGCAAGAATCTGTGTCAGTTGCTAGATGGTATAGCTCTGGAGAACCTTCCGTGGTTCACCGCGACTCCCTTGTATTAATGTCATGATCCATCCTTTAGAGAGAAGTAAATTAGAGAACTGAAGCCCTGGGCTGCGGGTTTGGAATAGTACCTGAACAAACAATACACGGCCCCATGACCCCTGAACACGCTACAAAACTTGGCGTTTCTTGATGCGCATCCGACTTCAAGTGGTAGCCCTTGTAGCCCTTGTAGCCCCTGCACCAATTCTTGAGGGGAGCGGAAAGAAAGAACAACCACAAAGAACAGATGCGGTACCACGATCTTCTCATCCACGTCTCCAGCTATCGTGGTTTACAAAGGCGCCCATGACGTCTGCTGTCATGCCCAGCTCCGCCAGTCCTATGAGTGTATCACCACAATCCGAGCGTCAGCATGCCCTCCAGCTCGTCGGATCAACAACCACGACAGTCCTCAACAAGCAAATTCTTCGGTAGGAAGCTATACAAAGGAAACAAGATCGATAGTAGGTATGAGGAGAGCGTTGGCTTCGAAAGTCCGAATGCAGCCAACATTAATGGCTCGAAATCATCGCGACATTCGAACAGAGCATCAGTGCATTCATTGGAGAATGATGGAGACCCGGCTGGGCTCGCCATGACCGCTGGAGTCATTACCTCGATACCTTACCATACTACTTCCGCTGACGCGAGAACTCCCGTCTCTGTGGACCATCTACCCAGATCGGATTCAACGTCAAGCAGACAGAGCCCGCAACCACATCACTTAAATAAAGGAGCAGACTATCATCAATATCCGGCTTGGAATGGCTCAAATCAATCGGGCGCCGGTGCTTCACATCCCACCGGGCCGAGGCCACCTCCGCATGGAGGCACGACGAGCGATAGAGGAACGAAAGCACAGCAGTTGGGTAGGCCCGGAAGTTCTACAGCACAGCACGCCAGCTATACGTCTACCTCCAGCTCGGAGCCTCCTCCAGTTCCCAGAAAATCGTTTGACCAAGCGAGCATAAATTCAACAGTTTCTACTGCCACAAGGGGCTCGAGCCTCTTCTCCGACGCCTATTCCTCCCGAACCGTAACCCACGCCAAGAACGATGAGCAGGACAAAGTCACAGTTACTGGGCCTTCTGCCTCGCGACTTTCGCTTCTTAGCTCTGCAGGCTGGGCGCCCCAGCACCCGTCCGGCTTCAATTCTACAGCGTCTTTCTCACCCGATGGCTTTCAACTGCCAAAACCTGACGACGATCGTGTCATTGAAAAGCAATTCATCGAACTCATGCATAAGCGAGGCTGGCAAAACCTTCCAGATCAAGCAAAACGACAGATCGTAGCCTATCCTGCAAGCAAGAAATGGACATTGATACACCAGGACCGTCTGACAGAATGGCAAGGCGAGCAAAAACGGAGGCAGCATGCAAGACAGACAGGGGTTCCAGATGGCAACTTGGGGCATCTGACGAGAGTGGATGAAGAGGGCTCTCCGGAGTGGTATGTCAAAAAGATCATGGATCATACAATAGACTCGAAGCAATTAGGAAGCCTTAGTGTCAGTCTGAGAACACAACCTATCAGTTGGGTCAAGGCATTCGTGGAGGCTCAGGGTCAAGTTGCGTTGACGAACGTCCTGCTCAAGATCAATCGAAAGCAAGTTACTGGACCTGCTCCGGCGTCAGGCCTCACCAGCGACAAAGACCTCGATCGCGAATATGACATTTGCAAATGTCTCAAAGCATTGATGAACAACAAATATGGAGCAGATGATGCGTTGGCGCACCAGCAGGTGCCAATAGCTCTGGCAACATGTCTAACCTCTCCTAGGTTGACGACAAGAAAACTCGTCAGCGAAGTGCTCACGTTTCTGTGTCATTGGGCGGAGGGACAGGGGCATCTTAAAGTATTACAGGCTATGGACTACTGCAAGAATACAACTGGAGAGAACGGTCGCTTTGATGCATGGATGCGAATTGTTGAAGTCACCATCGATGGCCGGGGCAAGATGGGCAGTCTAGTTGGGGCGAGCGAAGAGATTCGAAGCGGTGGCATTGGCATGGAGAATCTGCTCATGGAATATGCAGTGGCTACACTGTTCCTGCTGAACATGATTGTGGATGCACCAGAACGGGATTTACAGTTACGATGCCATATCAGAGCTCAGTTCATTGCGTGTGGCATCAAACGGATACTATTGAAGATGGAGGGCTTTCAGTATGAAGTGATCGACAAGCAGATTGAACGATTTCGGGAGAACGAGGCAATCGACTATGAGGATCTTCTGCAGCGGGAAGCCAGCAGCGTCCAAAGTGGTGTGGAAGGAGATGTCAAGGATATGACCGATCCAGTACAGATCACCGATGCGATCATGTCCAAGGTGCAAGGAACGCGGACCCAAGACTATTTCCTCTCCGCAATGCAGCATATGTTATTGATACGCGAAAATGAGAGCGATGATCGACTAAGGATGTTTCAGCTCGTCGATGCTATGCTGAGCTATGTTGCCATGGATAGAAGATTACCCGACATGGACTTGAAGCAGAGCCTGAACTTTACCGTGCAAAGCCTGCTTGAAAAGCTGCATACTGACAATGAGGCACGCTTGGCCTTCGATGAAGCTACAGAAGCACGACAAATTGCAGAAGCTGCAATTTCAGAACGTGATGAAATGAAGGCCCAGATCGAACTGGGTGCGGATGGATTGGTGAGGAAGCTTCAGAAGCAGATTGCAGAGCAGTCGGGAATAATTGAACTTCAATCACGGCAGAACGAATCGCTGAGATCTGAGATGGCAGAACTGCAACGAATACGTGGGCAGGAATTGCAAAGGAACGAGTTGGAAACTCGGGAACTCTATCTTATGCTACGGGACGCCCAAGATGTTGCAGCGTCACATGCGAAAAATGCAGGCAAGGATGGCCTTGGTGTGGGTGACCCGAAGCAGATGCAAGGTATCCTGGATCGAGAGAGATTGATGGAGAGACTTGAACGCAGCCTCGAGAGAACGAAAACTCAGTTCAAGCTCGAAGGGAAAATCTGGAGTCAAGCCGGTCCATCAGACCGCCTACGAGAGCTTCGAGAAGAAATGGATGACCAAGCAGATCTCGATTTCCAGGAGAAGACCAAACGGCACCTCACTCAGACCAAGTCAACTCTTGGCAGCGTCAGCCGGAGCAATGCTCACAGGTCTCAGAAGGGAGCTCGCCGAGCGGCAGCTGACGCATTAACCATCAGTGAAGAGCTCGACGAGCTGGAAGAGGAAGCCGCTGATGGGCCTGTCGTCTATGAGAAGCCCCGGATAGTGGAAGTGAAAAGGCCCAAGCTGAATCCAGAACAGGCAACTGGGCTATTAGGAGAAATAGCATCGCGAGTCAAGAAATACGATGCGAGTGATGATGAAGGCGATGGAGTCACTACTGGGCCATCGCATCCTAGCCTCGAGTCTCAATCGCCAAAGACCCCTTCTGATGAGTCTCTACCAAAAGAGGATGCCAAGTTTACTGGCCCTCCTCCACCTCCGCCACCACCTCTACCTTCCACTCCTGGCGTGCTGCCAGGCTTCCTAGCCTCGAGTCTCAATCGCCAAAGACCCCTTCTGATGAGTCTCTACCAAAAGAGGATGCCAAGTTTACTGGCCCTCCTCCACCTCCGCCACCACCTCTACCTTCCACTCCTGGCGTGATGCCAGGCTTCGAATCTGGACCTCCGCCTCCGCCACCTCCTCCACCACCACCTATGCCTGGCATGACCCCCTCAACCCCAGTCATGCCTGGATTCGAAACTGGCCCTCCACCCCCTCCTCCTCCTCCGCCGCCACCACCTCCACCAGGTTCCGTCCCTATGAGTCCTGCTGGTGCAGCTGCTCCTCCACCTCCTCCGCCTCCTCCGCCTCCGCCTATGCCTGGGCCTCCACCTTTGCCGGGTGCACTGCATGGTCATTTCTTACCCAGAGCTGATCTATCACTGGTACCAACTCTAGGATATCCCGGCATGCGCCCGAAGAAGAAGCTGAAAGCATTGCATTGGGACAAGGTCGATATGCCACAAGTAACTGTGTGGGCTACTCATGCTCCTACTCACGAAGCCAAAGAAGAGAAATATATGGAGCTGCAGAAGAAGGGTGTGCTCGACGAGGTTGAAAAGCTGTTCATGGCCAAAGAGACGAAGATCCTTGGCGGTGGGTCGTCGAAGAAGAGTGACAAGAAACAGATCATCTCCAATGATCTCCGCAAAACATATCACATTTCGTTGGCCAAGTTCTCGCAGTTATCCGCTGACGAAGTTGTTCGCATGATCATACACTGCGACAAGGAGATACTTGACAGCAATGTTGTGATGGACTTCCTCCAGAAAGAAGATCTCTGCACCATTCCAGACAGCACCTCCAAATTGATGGCCGCCTACAGCAAGGACTGGACTGGGTCGGATGCGCTGAACACAACCAGGGAACAAGACCCTGCGGAGCTGACGCGGGAAGACCAGATATACCTCCAGACCGCTTTCGAGCTGCACCACTACTGGAAAGCACGTATGCGCGCATTGGCATTGACGAGAAGCTTCGAGCCTGAGTACGACGATATATCTGAACGACTCAAGCAAGTCGTCCATGTTTCCGAAGCTCTTCGACACTCCACCTCCTTGATGAGCGTCTTGGCACTCATTTTGGATATCGGGAATTACATGAACGACACAAACAAACAGGCCTCAGGTTTCAAGCTGAGCTCACTTGCGCGACTCGGCATGGTCAAGGACGACAAGAACGAAACCACCTTCGCGGACCTGATTGAGCGCATCGTGCGCAACCAATACTCACAGTGGGAAGGTTTCGTCGAAGACATTAGCGGCGTTGTAACAGCCCAGAAATTAAACGTCGACCAACTCCGCATCGATGCTAAGAAATACATCGATAATATCAAGAACGTCCAATCCTCCCTCGACGCCGGCAACCTCAGCGACCCCAAGAAATTCCACCCCCAAGACCGCGTGTCACAAGTCGTGCAGCGATCAATGAAAGAAGCCCGCCGGAAAGCAGACCAGCTACAACTCTACCTCGACGAGATGGTACAAGCCTACGACAACATCATGACCTACTTTGGCGAAGACAATACAGACGACAACGCACGACGAGACTTCTTCGCCAAACTCGCCGGCTTCGTGACCGAGTGGCGCAAATCTCGCGAGAAGAACATGACCGCCGAAGAGAACAGGCGGCGCATGGAAGCCAATCTGGCAAGGAAGCGCGCCGCGGGCGGACCGACCAACCCTTCTCCGGGTAACGCCACCCCAGGAGACGGTGACGCGCCCAGCTCACCCAGCTCAAGTGGAGCCATGGACTCGCTGCTGGAGAAACTACGGGCCGCTGCTCCACAGGCCAGAGATCAAAGGGACCGAAGGAGAAGAGCGAGGTTGAGGGAGAAACACCAAGTTCGCATCGCGTCGGGCCAGAAGATGCCGGACCTACCGCTCAAGGACGACGTCGAGGCCGATCGCGGTCTCCTCCTGAGTCCCGAGACGGTTGCTGAGGAGGGCGGTGCAGCGCACTGCGCCTCTTCTCCCGAGCAGCGCGAAACCAGTGGCAACGTGTCCGAGAGCGAAGATGTGGCGGATCGAGCTGCGACGCTTCTGCAGGGGTTGAGGGGTGATTCCGCCTTGGGCGATGCTGCCGACGCTAATGATGGTCTTCGCGTGCGCAGGAGGAGGGAGAGTGCGGATGAAGAGAGGAGGAATAGGAGGTTGAAACGGAGGACGGCGCAGCAGAGCTCGAGTGTGGGAGAAGTCAGTGCCGCGGCCGCGGGACTCGCTACGGTTGAGGAACAGCTGGAGAAGAAGGATCAGGGTCAGGATAAGGATGGCAGTGGTGGTGGTGTCGCTCGGATCCCGTCGCCGCCGCTGTCAGAGAGGGCGGACACACCGTCTCAACTACCTCCGCCTCCTACCATTGTGGTCAGTCCGACCGAGCCGAATGCTTCTTCGCCCTTTTCGTCAGGCATGGATACGGATAGCACGGTCACGGACACGGCCGAGAAAGCGGATGAAATTGACTGATTAGTGCTTCGGGTGGGGAAAGGCCTTCAGCCCACTGAGTGTGCTTGGTTTCTTTGTACAGAAATTGTTCTTTTGTGGTGGTGTTTCTTTCTTCTTGTATAGAGCACATTATCTTTTCGTTTGTTTGTTTGTTTGATCATCACGTCTCCAAGGATCTGGGTGTTTCTTGCGAAGCCGCGGCGGCGGCGGTAGCAACGCCAGGAGAGACGAACCATAGCAGGTGGGTCAAACGGGAATTCCGATAATCTTGGGGCGACGACGGGGCATCCGAATTTTTGGGGGGGAGCCGCGGGGCCTTTAACTGGATGAGATGCTACTACAATACCAACTACTATACTTTGGAGATGTATCATGTTGGGGCGTTGCGGAGCTTTGTTGGGTATTTTCTCTTTTCTTTGTGCAGTGAGTGGGTCAGCGGCTACGCTGCATTGCATTGCTACAGTAACTAGTGGGTGAGAGGAGGCAATTTGTCGTCGTCGGCTGCAGGCCCCCATGGGGATGAGGGATTGAGAATTGAGAGGGTGATTTATCGCATTCTTCAGTGGCTTTCTTGCTTGTGTGAAGACCGCTTCCTTGCTGATTCGAACCTGGAATGGTAGCCGGTTTCCTGCGTCTTATGCACTGACAAGGTGGGTGTGTGAGAGAGGGCGAGAGAAAGAGAGAGAGGGAGAGAGAGATGGGGATTTGATGTTCTCAACTCCTCTCAATCGCTATTTTGTCCCAAGCAGCCAAGCAAGAAGCATCTTGTATAGGTAATACTCGGCTGTCTGCTGTCTGCCCTGCATCCCCTTTGCCATAAAGTCACTCGCTTGTTCGTCGCTTTTCCTATAATTGGATTCTCGAGCCAAGAAAGACCTTGGAAAAGCTCGCACCCTTTATTTCGCACTGTTTGAATAGTCAGGGCAATCAGCCTTCTCTGTGTTGCACAACCAACCTCGGGCTATCTGACATAGATCAAGCTCTGGTCCGTGTGATCGGTGTAATTCTACAGGAAATAGCACCATCTTCATTGGGAGCCCAAGGCTGTTCTTACTTCTCCTCCTCTCTTCCTCTTGCTCTTAGCCTAACATAACATGGCAAACCACCCTCCATTGGCAACGTGAGACTGTTCTTACTCCTTCTCTCCTTCTCCGCCCCTTGTGTGCCGGTGATCTCTTCAAAGTCAAACTCCCTCCACATCTGAACAAGGACCCAACAAGCCATCAGCTCGGCCATTTTCTTCCCTAAGCAGGACCGAGGCCCGCCGTTGAAGACGGGGAACTCGAATGCGGACTTGGTGATCAGCTTCGCTGTTTTATCATGTCCATCCTTGGAGGTAGCAGGGTTGCTGAGCCATCGCTCGGGACGAAAGCTGTCGGCATCATCTCCCCATGCAGCCGGCGAGCGATTCATGGCCCAAATGCACCAAACGATGATACTTCCCTTGGGCAGAAATGTCCCGTCCGGGAGCGTGGTATCGACTTGGCATTGTTTGATTTCGAAGGGGACAGGTGGATAGAGGCGCAGAGATTCGTTGAATATGGACATCGCGTGAGGCAGATTTGTGGGCTGAAGGTCTGCGACGCTCAATTTGAGGAGAGTATTTGAATGCTCTTCTTTGCCAGATTTGTGATCTGGGGGGCGTTGAGCAAATGTTGAGTCCGCTTCCTTGCGAAGAATTGCTAGGGCTGAAGGATGACGCATTAGGGAATAGAAAGTCCAGGTCAGAGATTGAGCTGTTGTGTCACGGCCTGCAGAGAGGAAGTTCAGTGCTGCATCGGCAGTGAGGTTTGGATCGTCATCGAAAGCGTCCATCAGGGAAATGACGAGGCTTCCAAAGCCGGAAACAGACGCTTCTGGTTTTCGTTTGTCTCGATTTACTTTGGCATTCCAAACAATTTCCCGGCCAAATTTCTTGACTTCAGCAAGGGAAGAGCGGAATTTAGAGCCTACGAAGAGCTCGGTGATCAAGTAAAGAGGATTCTGGAAGCGGCGACCAGTTCGATCTGAAGCGTAGTCGAAGGCGCGACTGAACGGGGAGCTTGCGCTGATGTTCATCTTGCAAATTAGTTAGGATGACAAGGTTCTCCTGATATCAGAGGGCAAAGCGTACATCATATGCCATGCGGCCAACCACTGCTGTTGTCAAGTCGAGGAGCGTGGCTTCCAGATCTAGCGACTGTCCGGAGCCTGCAAATCCTAGCAAGACTGCCCGTATCTCCATATACGCATTAGGCAGAACATCCTCAATCAGAGTGTCTAGATTTGCACCAGTGAAAAACTTCAGCCCGGCTTTACGTTGTGTCTTCCACAACTCGCCATCCGAGTTGATAATACCATAGCCTCAGATTTGATCAGCAGAAGCCTCGATCGCATCCATCTTTGAGGCGCACCAAATAGGTCCCACGACCTCTTTCTGAAGAACTCGCCCTTAGTAATAGTGCTCTCATTTCTGAGGACAAATTCAAGAATGTTTGGATCATTTATGACAACGCCGGATGGTAATGTAGGAATTGAGATTCCAAATGTTTCCTTACCGTGTTTCCTTTGGCAATGTACGAACCAGTCAAATAGGAGGTGTCTTGGCTGGAGGAATTTGATAGCATTTCCGAGTACGGGCAGGGTACCTGGGCCATAACTATATCCTATCAGACAGCACCTTCGCGAAAAAATAGAAGTGGTGAATTTAGAGGCATATGTGTTGTGTATCTGTTAAGTGAAAACATTCTTACCGGAGCTTGTCTCCGTGTCGGTGTATAGTGCTTTTTCGGATGTGCTGATATGCTGCACCACCAAGGATAGCAACCAGGCTCAAGAAGATTAGCCAAAGCATGCTTTGTCATGTAGAGTGACCCCACACTAGGGCTGCCAGGTCCGAGAAAGGTCCAGAATGAAAGAGAGCACACTGTTTAGGTGTCTGAGCGGGGAAGTCTTGCGTAATGGACCGAGGTCACACGACAATTGAGGGTTGCACAGATATACAGCATTACTTCTTCATGACGTTTCCAGGCGCAGTGATTCGTTGAACGTTGGAAATCGTCCTTATCTCGAAGAAAGCGAACCGAGGACTGTTTCTAAGCCTCATCTATGCTGTCGGAGGGCTGTTCCGGCGTGGTCAAGTACGTTTTTGTTGGGACGCCTAACGTAGCTAGATGCGCGGTAGGGAACAACGCCTGAGGATCGGCCCTTATAGCAAAGTGGCAGAGCCGACCGTCAGCGGTTCCTGTTTACTTTTCCAGGCCTACCTCCTGTCTCTTGCTGCCAGGAACCGAGTTTAACGCGGCCCCACACTTGCAAAGAACGCGTGCAGTGGAATGCCTACTAACTACGTAGAAGCAGCTATGTACAAGTCGTCATCATCCAAAACGTTGAGCAGGGCTTGGCTTCAGGGACCCGAGGACAGCGATCAGTTGCATGTCAAATCCGGCAGTACCACCACTATTACCTCTATTACCACTACTATCACACTATCAAAAAGCATATGCAGGTGGTGGCAATTGACGGCACATTCGTTTGACGGGTTTCTGTTTGCCCTGATCTGAAGAGCATTGGGAATTTCTTCTTCCTCTGCGTGTGAAGCGGCCACTCATTCAGCACAGATACCCATCCGATCATGTTCTGCGCACATTAGCAATTATAACTGTGCATATTTCTGCACGTCATCACTTCAATCTTTAGACAGAGCTATTTTGTACTGCAAACCGTGCCAAAGAAAAAATGTCTCCTTCAGTGGTCAAACCTAAAAGTCCTCCGCCTTATCAACGGCCAAACCTCTACATACATGGCATTGGCGCAGCCTACCCTCCACATTCTGTAAAAGCAGAAGAGCTTTCTATCATAGCACGCCGCTTCCACCCAAGCACTCCAGCGTCAGTGCGCCACTCCGTTGACGTCACGTATCGTTATGCTAAATCTCCCCAGGCTCGAAAAAGTCCTCTATATCAACGAATTCACCGGCATTGAGACTCGCTCAACCATCGCCACCATTGATCACCCTCTAGCAAACCGTCCTGAAGCGCCCAACATCAGCGAGCTCAGCAAGGTTTTTCTCGACCACGGCGTAAGGCTATCCGTCGAAGCATGTCGTAAGGCAGTTGCAGATTGGGGTGGTGACTTGTCTGATCTTACTCACATGGTGGCCGTGACGTGTACCAATTCTGCAAACCCTGGTTATGACCATCACGTAGTCAAGCAGCTCGGTCTCAACACGAGCATTGAAAAGGTACTCTTGCATGGCGTTGGTTGTTCCGGTGGTTTGGCAGCTCTCCGAACGGCAGCAAATATCGCCCAAGGTGCAAGTTTTCGAAACCGGCCGGCCAGAATCCTGGTACTTGCTTGCGAGATCACCAGTTTGCTTGTAAGATCAGAACTGGAATCCATTGCTCAATTGCAGGAGACTAGAATTGGCGTGACGTTATTTAGCGATTGTGCTTCAGCCGTCGTGCTTGGTAATGGTTTTGGTGACGACCCAATGGAAGAACCAATACTAGAGCTGCTAGGCTGGGACCATAGAATAATTGATGACACTGAGGATGACCTTGGTTTCGATGTCGATCCACTGGGTAATCTGTCGCTTCCTCAAAGCCTCGGTTAGAATGCTAATATCGACAGGTTGGAAGGTCATTCTTACTCCTCGAGTACCGAAGCTCGCTTCTGCCTCCGTTGCGCCAGTCTTTACTGATCTGGTCACCTCGATACCTGAATTGACCGATGCTGACAAGGTGAACGCCACCGATTTCGACTGGGCCTTGCATCCCGGCGGAGCAACTGTCATCACTGGAGTCGAGCAGGCCATGGGCCTGACACCCGAGCATCTCAGAGCGAGCTATGACATATACATGAACCACGGAAACAGCTCGAGCGCTACCGTCTTCGCTGTGATCGATCGGCTATTAAGGATGGGTGAAGGCAACCAGTACATTACCAGTTGCGCATTCGGTCCGGGTATTGCCATTGAGATGATGATGCTAAAACGGTTGGGAAGCTCTCGAGCTGGCACAGAAAGCCCTGGCACAGCGAGCTTCGGTAGTGAAAGCCCTGCTGAGATCAACGGAGAAGAGCTTCTTGACGTACCAGCGGTTGATTAAATGTTTGCGGGATGCGTCAACCAGCAAGATCTATTCTGTGAGAAGATAAGACCTCAGCGAGTGTGAGCATCTAGAGTGGTTTCCGGTGGCTGTACCGTGGTGTTATGGGGGTACCGTTGAAGGTCGGCTGCTTGCCAGATATTGCTGGAGCAATCCGCTACTCCGCCAACCATACATAGCTAGATTCAAGTCCCGTCGATGGTGTGGGAGGCAGGAGCTATAGGAGTTCTCATGAACGAGCGCTTCACAAGTCTTGTTGGGCATTTGACAGATGTCTCCTTGTGACTCACTAGATACCAGGGACTCACCAACAAACCAGTCACCAACAGCAAAGGTCGTCGACATGTCTTGACGACCTTTCCCCATCCGCTCTGAGCCAGCTAAGAAGACATCAGTGATTATCTAGATGGGTTTCGGCGTCTTCCGATCGCGTAGCTGTAAACATTCCTCTTGCCTATTCATGTGGCAAAATGGTTCTTCAAATAAAGCTCCCAGCAACAGCTCAACAGGCCAGCAAGGCAGACACCATGCACCGTGACAAAAAGCAGCGGCTGCCAAACAGCCTGACGATCCATAAGCCGCCCAGTAGCTCTCACCACGGGTGCTAGATGGTAAAGTGCCAGAGCTCCTGCTGCCTGCCCACTCGACTCGTCCAGGTCCTTAAACGCGAAGCTCAAGGCGACGAGAACCGACGAGAATAGGAGAACCGCATATTGACGTATGACAGCATGAACTTGAGGAGTGCAATTCGGGAGCTGCCCGCTAGGGTTGAGGAAGAAATTGAGCGATGCAGGCGTTTCTACCATGGCGTGTAGAAGAAAGGGCTTCAAGAGAATCTTCTGGGTGGAGACGAGCCGGGCAAGGGAAGTCCCGATAGAGCGAACGACGTCCATCTTTCTGCTATAGACAACCAGAATCCTGGGCGAGCTTTTGTGCAAGGTCGGGTGGCCAAGTTCCAGTACTTATTTGAGCCCTTGAGACTCTCGCTGGAGCCAGGGTTGAATTTCTTGTTCAAATATACAGCGACGAAAAACACGCTGGAAGCTTTTCACAGCCCCTGAGGTTGTTCCGCCGTGTTCCGAGCGACAAATGATGCTGCGCCAACAATAGGTCGGAGCACGAATTCACCAAAAAGCGTCTCATCGTCACTGTCCGTTGGCCTCAGGCTCTCTCGGCTTCATAAGATTCCACTGCCAGATAATAAACCCACAACAGCCACGGTCCACACTCTCGCAGGCTCATATTTCTCCCTTGCTAGTCCTCCAAGACTTGACAAGAGTATTCTTTCAGGATGTACTCCATGGTTGACAATGGACGAATCGTCTTCCCAACGTTCATCCTAGGCAAAAGGAAGGGCCGAAGTGGTCGCCTATTCAAAGCACATGCTAAAAAGGACATTTAATGTGCTTCACATTACAGCGCTTCCCTTCAATGTCTCTTGTGTCCCAGGAGCCAGTCGAGTCTGTTGGAGATGCTATCGTCTCTTTGCTACAATAGAAGGATCGGTCAAAGGACAAAATGTTCTCACTAGGTCCTCCTTTCCATTCGACATGGTTCGAGCCATGTTACCCACGGCCGGGCTTGGTTGCCATTTGTGCACTTTGCCTGCTATAGTGATCGACCCTCGGTACGAAGCTCTCCTTGTTGACGACATTGAACACCCGGTGAGTTATTGAGGACACCTTCAGCATTGAATATTACGTCGGCACTTACATTCTGCAAATTCAATTACTTGACCCCCGACAACCAGACTATCTACGTGCCTTCGAAAAGCAGCCCAGCAGTCAGTAATTCTTCAATACTTATGGATCCTTATTCTGCAAAGCAGACGTATTCGTTTAGTGCTTCATCGAATAGGCAGATTTAGCAGAACAGCGGCACAGCACACGAGGTCCGGTCAGTGCGATAGGATCCTTAGAGCCTGAACCAACGAATGTCTGAATAATCACCATGAATGTATCGCTCTCGAGAGTACAAGGGGTAGAAATCGACCGCTGCCAACCCGGCTCCTCTACATCGAGCAACGAGAGAACAACCTTCACGTCAAATTATGTGACAGGGTTCATCTTGATCCTATGGTCCGGTACGTGACCTTGAGTCATGTCTGGGGCGCGACTTCCCATTCAAGCTAAGCGCTGAGAATATGGAGCAGCTTCAACAGGGCATTGGCTTAACATCCTTGCCTCAAACTTTCAGAGATGCTGTGGTGTTGACAAATAATCTATTGCTGCAATATCGCTGGATTGACTCTCTCTGTATCATACAGGATGTTGCTGACAAGTCGGATTGGGAGCGAGAGTGCTCGACTATAAGCGACATCTACAACGGATCATCGGTCAACATGGCCGCAAGTCCCGCGTTGGATTCTGACAGAGGACTTTTTTTTCGCTGAGGGACCCGTTGACAATAACACCATGCGTCTTTCCCGTGTGCAGTGCAGCGTTAGGATGGCAGAACGAAATCTGCGTGGTCTGGACTGAAGGCTCTGCCAGAGAGCCAATCGCTGAAGCTCCTCTTAACAAACGTGGTTGGGTGTTGCAAGAACGACTTCTAGCTCCAAGAACTATTCACTTCACTAAGCAACGAATATTCTGGGAGTGTCCTCAGCTTTATGCCTCAAAAACCGATCCATGATGTGACTTCCAGAAACCTACTGATGCTGGGCTTGGGCGAGCATCCCTCCGGTGCGTTTAGCTGCGGCTACATCTACATAAAGGTCCGCTCTGTGAAGCACTCATCAAAGCCTTACCTAGCGCTTCACACGGTTTACCCAGCTGGAGTCAACAGACACATGCATTGAGGTATCGCAGCTGAATTTCGACCATAGTGATCCTAGGCACCCTACCGGCAGTGGTATAGACACGATCTATCTGCTTGGTTGTATGTCCGACATAAAGAGCCCAGCTGACTTGGGTATTGGGATGCTCCTTAGACCAAGTAAGAATCAAAGGGGCCAATATATCCGGCTGGGGCAGTTCTTGTATCTTGATAAAGATACTTCCGAGGATCAGTGCTTGAACGTCGATAGTCTCATGCTTGCCTTCAAGCAATCCAGACTCGCGAAATCTTCGTACCTCGAATCTCATGACGACAACACATTTGCGATAGAGATCATATGAGCAAGATCATCACAATCTCCTCTACCAGGCATGCCCTACCCTGGCCATCCATTCGTCAGCTGATAATATCCCAAGTCCTCAGCCCTGAATCCAAAGAAAGGCTCCTGGGAAACAATACAAGATCGTGTTGATGATGAAGATCTAGGTAATCTTTCGGCTCACCTAGTACTGCGTTGCCTGATGCAAGGGAGCCGGAGCCCCGTGAGTTTAGCAGCAAAGGGTGATAATGAACTAGAGATAGGAGATCATTCTAACATGAGTATTTCTAGGATGCTTGTGTGCGTTTCAGCCGCATCGCTTCTACTTTCCAGATGATTATTCGATCCCCAGATCACGCAGTTCCCCTCCCTTTGTTCCTATTCCCTCACACAAATCACCCAACTCATCCACCCTGTCGGCCACGTATGCACCTCCTCCCCACTCATAAACCTCCACCCTTCTAATCTCCTCCCACCGTTGGCCTTCCGCAGCAGCGCTTCCACCTCCTCTGGCGTTCTCGTGCGCAAACTCGATATATAGCCATCAAACACCAGGCAGAAGGGGATTAAGGGGATAACGTAGGTGAAGAAGAGGTGGAGGGGTCGGTTCCAGAAGTAGTAGAGGGAGATGATGCCGAGCAGGGGCCCGAAGAGGAAGACGGTTATGAGACTGGAGATGGTGCGGGATTGGAGCTCGAAAATCCTGTACCCATCTATTCGTTAGCGGTAGAAGCTATGCTGATGCTGCACCACCTGTATCCTCTGTAAGGGCCCGGCCCATAGAATCGGTCCAGACAAAAAAGAGCAGACAGGAATGATGCTCACCCAAACCCATCACTAGTCTCCAGCGTATTCCTCAAGATCCCCTCGGCAAGCTCATCATCAAAATGATGAAACGCGAGACTGAACAACCTCATCACTTTCTTCTCCTTCTTCTCCTCGTCCCCACTCCCCTCACCACCCCTTCTTCTTCTTCTTCTCCTCCCCGCCTCCCCCATCGCCGCCCTCTTCACCAAATCCCTCGGCGCATCCGCCGCATCCACCCCCTCGGCCACGAACCGCACATTCTCACTCTTCTCGCTGGCCCCCTGCCAAGCCTGCACATGCGGATGCAGATCCGTGAGGATGAACATGGCCTCCTCCTTCCCCTCGCCCTCGATCCTCCGATTCAGCTCCTCCTCGATGAACGGCGTCGGCCCGCCTGCCCCGCTCGCGAAATCCACATACACGTAGTCGGTGACGTGGTCGCGGCCGA